ATCCAACTCCAGTCTGTCAGAGAGAATGGTATGATCAATGATTTGACTGGAATATATATCAAAATGTGTTTTTGCCCTCAACCAGTCCAAGTAACTGATGGTCCACAGCTTTTGAGGATTTTAAAAATTATTAGAAGTTTGGAAATGGGCCTGTAGTCAAACTGTGGGATCTATGATGCTTTTTCTTTAAGTTAACAGATGACAGTGGCTGTTTAAGTAATCTGGCATGCACCCAGATGATAGATGATAACTCCGTATCCCATCAGAAAATGTATACTTCAGGCAACTTGCATGCCTTTGGTCTCTAAAGACACTGCAGCACCTGAAGGGAACTTCTGACATTAATTTTCTCACATTACAGGTTGAATGCATATAGAAAATTGTATCACACTGTGTGTAGGCTTTTCTTGCACAGAAAGACAAATACTTGGCATGTTGAATAATCAGACAAATGATCATTGCGTCTTTGCTTAATGGCTGTCAAAACTAAAAACCAGTCAGCTTGAACTGTTCTCATACATGGAGCTTACTAGAAAAACAAGAAATTTTTCACAATCAGAAAACATGGCAGGAAAACCAGACCCTGTCGATAGTGTTAAACAGGAACTGATGATTGTGCCTATTATTGCTAATCAAGCCAGAGAAACGGGATATTCTTCCATCTTTTAAGTCAGGTGAACGAGGTTAATAACTACTTTGTGTGCTGGTAGCCCACGTGGAGGTTTTTTCCATCTAGGTTCAGCTTTTCTGCTCTCTCATCTATGATGACAAATATGATCATTGATCCAAGGTAAAGAAGACTGGAGCAAATTTGGATTTTAAAGAGGCCACATTATCAAGAGCTGCACAATTAGAACAATTATAGATTAAATGTAAGATCAGATGAAAGCAGATTTCAGAACTTGGAGAATTCAGAGGGGTTTAGGAGGCTGCTGATAAACGATGGAGCAAACTAATTCTTTAAAAATTGTTGGGTGGACAAAGTTCCACAAGGGGGCAGCAATCCCCAGCCAAATCTGCTTAATACAAAATAAATAAATAAATCGTTTAGAGTAAAAGATTTATTGGACAAACATCTGCAGTTAAGAAGGCCAATAACTGTGAAACTGTCAGGCTGATTTACAGGGCACAGGAATGAAATTATTAGGTCCGGAAGTAGAAATGTGATCATTTTGCCCTTATTACAGGGATTGGTAAAATTGGTATCTGAAGTATATGAGGTTAGTGAGTTACTAATTAGTATGATGGGCAATAATTATGGCTGAGCATTATGGTTGTGGACACAGGAGGCCTGTAAAGGGAGCTGGTACAGAAAACAGAAGTACAGCTCACCACATGAGCTGGAGAAAGGATCGAGGGATGTAGACAGACGGTATATTATTTCTGTCTGAATTATTACTTACTATGCAAATCTTACATCTCAATGTCAGTGTACTCCATTTTTATATTGCATTAGCGTGACTGCAGCCCCCTGGAGCAATTATCCAGTGTTTTTGGGAACACTGGGGGCAAATATTGATAATGTGTACTTTATTTATTGATCCTCGTGGGGAAATTCTTCTCTGCATTTAACCCATTCACTCCTTGAAGCAGAGATAAGCACAGCTGGATAGAATTATTACTTACATCTCATCAGCTATGCAAGTCTTACATAGACATGGTCAAGAGGACCTACTGAAATTCAATCTAAGCATCAGAATGGGGCAGAAAGGTGACTACATGTGGCAGGCTGGTCTGAGTATTTCAGAATCTGCTGATATGCCTGGCATTTATCCAGTGAGTGGCAGCTCTCTGGGCAATGGCCAGACCATTTGAGCCAATAGAAAGACAACAGTCTGAATGCACAACATGTAGAGCCTTGAAGCAGAGGGGCTACAGCGGCAAAAGACCACGCCAGCTAAAAGAAAAGCTCAAAGGCAAGTTCACCGACACTGGACAAAAAATGTTGCCTGATCTGATGGGCCTCCATTTCTGCTGTGACTTTTGGATGGTAGGATCACAACTGACCCGTTTGGATGGGGAACAGGAGATTAACATCGTGCATGTTCACCTGATGAATCTGTGTGTTTCAAAGAACGTTGCTGAGTCTATGCCAGGCACTAGCGTGGTATACCTACTAAAGTGGCCAGTTAATATAGGTCAAAGGATGCTGTACAAACAGAAAACCAGTTTTAACTTCTCTCTTACACAGTAACACCATATCCATAAAACATGGAACTCCCCCCTCTACATGTAGAGGATCACCACCACTGCACCCTGGATATTAGCACAGGGTGTATGAAAGGTGCTCCTATGCCTTTCTTTCTCCTGCACACACCTGCATGATGTTTAAAACCTGTCAGAGAACAGGTTTTCAATGAACTGTCTGATTTCTGCTGCCTCTGCCTGAACTTCTCACTGGTAGCAAGGTCAGATGTTAAGCCCTTTAAAATATTTACCTCCCACTTCCTGATTTGACCTTTCAAAATAAAGCATGGGTTCCTATGGGACACTAAAAATAACTCGAGGCCAAACAGGAAAATTAATAGTCAGCAGGTCTGGGGTGCACCCGACCTTTAACTGTGTCAGCTGAAGTAACTCCACCCTGCCTGTTAGTGGATGAAATTATGCCTGTTTTGTTATTTAACACTTTGTAGACAGAAATGGAACCAAGCGCTATAAGGAACAGACCAGTTCGTAGTTACAGAGGACAGAGTGCCAACATGAACAAATGCATTGTTAATTAAATGTATCAATTAAAACTGGAAATATTTAATTAAATTATTGAATCATAATTATATATTTAATCAATTTCCCCATTGTAATTTGACGCATTTTATTAAATATGTAATTATGCGTTTATTTAATTCATTTTGGCACTCGAGGCCAGTGTTGGTCAAGTCACTTGAAAAAAGTAATCAGTAACTAATTACTGATTACTTCCCCCAAAAAGTAATCCTGTTCTCTGTGAATTTCCCATTACATCGTTGCGCACTCGGTGCTTGTTTAGGGGGGTTTTTTTTTCGCTGTAAAAAGAAGTTTTCTTCCCACGCACAACAGACGCTAATGTTTTTGTCACTTTTTATGGAATCAAACTCAAAATAAGTTCAGTACTTCCAGCTTTAAGCTCATACTCTCTCCCATACTCCATATATTATCCATTGTTGATCTGCACACAGCTGTTGTCACCAACTTAGCACTAGCTTACGTCATTGTCATGAGACATTCTATCACGGTTTTAGTAACGCAGTAACACAGCGTTCCTATGGGAAAGTAACGGTAATCTAATTACCGTTTTTGGAATAGTAATCCCTTACTTTACTCGTTACTTGAAAAAAGTAATCAGATTACAGGGTTACTGCCCATCTCTGCTCGAGGCCCTCAAAAGTGGTGGACATTTAACGTCATTATTAATCCAAAAATTCTGACTTGCAAAAGTCCATCTAAAGGCCAACAAAGAGACCGTTCCCACTCACATTCACGTCTAGGGCCAATTTAGAATCACCAGTTAAGCTAACATTCGTGTCTTTGGGCTGTTGAAGGAAGCCAGAGAGCAGTGTGAGTATAGTTAAGTAAAACAAAATTTGCTGCTGGTAATTTGACTCGTTTTTCTGGTTTTGTACAAAACCTCGCCACTTATTGGAAAAGCATTTCTTACAGAAAGAGCATGGAACTATGTGCCTGTACAGGCCTCTCTGTCCAAAATGTGAACATTGGCATCCTCGAAAGAGTGTCCTTTATCCTTAAGATGCAGATGGACAGCTGAATCTTGTCCTGTGGAGGTCGCTCTTCTGTGTTGTGCCATGCGCTTGTGAAGTGGCTGTTTGGTCTCTCCAATGTAGAGGTCTGGGCATCTGCATCTTAAGGATAAAGGACATTCTTTCGAGGATGCCAATGTTCACATTTTGGACAGAGAGGACAGATGGTTTGAAAGAGGAGTGAAAGAAGCCATCTATGTCCACTGTGAGCGACCATCTTTGAACAGAGGCGGTGGTTTACGACACCAACTCTCTGCCATCTATAATCCAGTTTTGAGATCCCTTCCCAGACGCCTTAAGGCCCACTCACACCCTGGGCCATCTGACCTCAGGAATTCGCATGATAAGGTGGGGCCAGGTTTCACAATGAACTCACCCGAAACTCTGGTTGATTGGGACCCACACCCAGTTCCACACCTTGGCTCAGGCGATTAGAGGATCATCAGGGGGTCCTTTTGTCCCTCTGTGGGGGGACACTCCCACTAGGGTTATATCTGGGACTCTCCACCATTTGACCTTAGAACTGAAGAAGCCTCTCGGATGAGAGGTGAAACGTCTTCAAGTAACTTAAAGAAGTCCAGACGCTTTTCTTTGCAAGCTCCTTTGACTACGATGACCTTGATGACTGAGAACCTTCACAGCTGGGAGAAATGGTGACTGCATCATATCTAAAGAGACTCTCAGTGAAAACAGACTTGATACATTTCAGAGATCAGATTTTTTTTTAAATGTTTATAATAAATATTCTGTGTTTTTGTGCTTTTACCCCATTATTTTTTTTTTTGCATTTACATTATACAGATTTTAATGCTGTCACAGGTAGGCTATGTGCCGGTTTTCCTTTGTTTAGATTTTTTTTAAAAGAAAGAATAGTACAGTAAATTAGAACTGCGTGTTGTAAAACTTTGAATTACAAACTGAATAGAAAGTGCCCTCAGGCTGACTCTTGTAACCGGTTTGATAAGGATGCTTGCTGTGAGTAATCCCGCCAATCACTGCAGCTCCCCATTTATTGCCCACTTTTAGTATTTGGCCTTTAGAGTCACTGTGGATTTATCTGTTTCTTTTTACCACAAAAACATATTACACCTTTATGGAGTTTCCATTTTTTCATGCTTATATTCTGACTGAACATGTGGAACAAAGCGGTGTCTCGCTGGCACTGAAGTATTTTGAGTCTAAATACTTTTAATTATCAGGCATGCAAATCCCCACTTTTATTTTGAAGGCGGTCTCAATCCGTGCGCCTTGACGCAGCAGCGTGGATCAAGTGGACTTTACTCTGACAGATGAGTCCTGAAAGTTGCCCCCATCACGAGGAGCGGCTTATGCATTGAGGTCAGACCGTGTGGGGCAGTGAAGAGCCGGGAGATGAACGACCTGTGGGTTTCCGTAGCGATGCTGGGGGTTTCGGTGCTCCTCAGCGAGCTGATCCGCTCCGCAGCGCGTGTGCTCCCGATAGATTACCGGATTTACCTGCGGGAGGCGGCGTCCACATTCCAGCTCTGCTGCTGCACACATGAACTCAAACTGCTGGGAGACTCGGCCCAGCTGGAGCTCAGTTACGGCCTGGCTCTCACCTACACGGTGACTCTTGTCCACTTGGTAACTTTCCAGGACGCGACCTGTAACCCCACCGCGGCTCTAGAGAGCGTTTGCCGCGGGACCCGCAGCTTAAGGGCGGCCGGCGTCGTCATTATGCTCCAGTTCGCAGCTGCCGTCGCCGCGCAGTCTTATGTCGCCTCCGCGTGGTCGCAGGGTCTCTCCGACATTCACCTGCAGCAAAAGAGCACTGACTTCAGGTGCTTCGATCCCCTAGGCGGGACGCTGCTGGAGGCCGCGGTGGTGGAGCTGGCCTGCGCCTTCGTTTTACAGGCTGCCTGCATGCACGCCCACAAACTGGACGAAAGACTCCAAGTGCACTTCATCGCTGCTGTTGTAACTGCAGCAGTTTATGCAGGTGTGTTAATGAGGGGCACCTCCTACTCTTCATAAGTCTAAACAAGTAAATGAAACCCCCTTTAAATAGAAAGGGTCACAGTTTGTGCCCCTACACCGCACAGACACGGAAAACTTTTTTTTTTTTTTTTTTTTTAAATGTTAAGAACAATCCTGCACATGAATACTGGCAATCACCCTGCTATGGTTTCTGTCAGAAACATTGTACTGTTCTGGAAACCACAACATAGACCCACAAGAATCAAAATCTAAACGGCGCAACTTAAAATACTGATCACAATCCTACAAAATCCAGAATTTAAACCATCCTGTCAGCCTTTGTGCTTGCAAAAGTGCAATTATTAAATGCAGCAAGCATGCATATTTACCCTCCTCAGTATGTGGGTAAAAAGTACACATGGTTCCATGCACATAAAGTAAATTAATTATTCTTCTTTTGTTTTGTGCAGGTGGAGGGATTTCCGGAGCCATGTTCAACCCAGTATTGGCCTTCTCCATTCAGTTCCCCTGCAGCGGCCACACCTACCTGGAGTATTGTTTTGTGTACTGGCTGGGACCAGTTTTAGGTAAGCAGTGGACTGGAGTCCACTCTTTATGATCTCACGTCCACTTTTAGATGTGAGAGTGGTATTTGTTGTCTTTTCTAACTCTCGGCA